GAGGAGGAGGAGGAATAGAGGTTAGAAGGGACAAGCGTGGAGGGAAGCGGGACGCAGGTTAGGACCGAGGAAGAAGGAAGGAGAAGGTAGACCAGGTTAGGGAAGGGGATGAACAGAAAACTAGGGACAAGCACCCAGAATCTGGGGACAGGGTCATGGGAAAGAGCCGGGGACCCTGGACACTGCAAGGAGAGGGGAGTGGGAAGACCAGAAACCAGAGGAGGATGGGGATGGTGGATAGAGACGGAGTCCCAGGCACCTGGGAAGAGGACCGAGGATGAGCGCTGGGGTTGGGGATGGGTAACCATGGATGAGAGAGGGGCTGGGAGTGGATGCCAGGGTGGGGATGGGGGCCGGAAAGGAAGGAAGGGGAGGAGGAAGAGAAAGGGGTGGAAGCGAGGGACGGGGTGGGGGTGGGGGGTGTTGCCAGGGATGAGACAAAGAGGCTTCTGGTAACCACTTCCACGTGGGAAGCCCTCCATTCCCAGAGCGCCTGCCCCTCACATCCCTTCTTTCAGGGAGTGGTCGCGGGGCTCGGAGCTCAGGGCTTTGAGGGGTGGCCCTGGGGGGGAGAGGGGGGGACATTTGCATGGAGTGGCAGCCTCTGAGGGTGGGCACCCTGGCTGGCTCCACGCTGCTGCCGTTTATATCTCCGGACCTCACGTCGGATCCTGCCGCCGCCACCGCGGTGACTGCTTATTTTGGGGTGTCACATTCTGGCAGAGTGAGAAGCGGTTTCAGCAGCCTAAAACTCCCAGGCAGCGTCAGTGCCTCCCCAGGCCCCTGCGTCACCGTCACCGGCACTGCCGCCACCTCCATCAGCCTCTCCCTAGCCTTTTCTGCGTGGAGCTGTTGCTTCTCATCTGGGACCCTGGGTCCCTCCTTCGGAGCCAGAGGCCTTGACTTCCCAGGCCACTCACTCTGCACCGGCCTCTCTGCCCTGAGGGTTGGTGCCCTGGCTCCTGCCTCTACCGGGGTCCATCTGCTTCCTTTCACTGGGGCCTCTGAGCCCAAGGGAGGCTCCAGGGGTGAGCACTGTGTTTCCGAGCCTTGGTCCTCCGGGTGATGGCCAGATTCCTTGACAGTGGTCCCTCGATGAATGGATACTTCTTGGCTCTGGGCACCTCAGCCTTCTGGGATCGATACCATGTTCTGGCCTCTCTCCATCCCTCCTCTGGTCAGTTCTGGCCCTATCTCCTGGGCACTGGTCATCTCTCCTTGACTCCCAACAGCCTCCCTGCTAGAGCCGCCCTGACCTGGAGCCCAGGAGAGGAAGGTTGCAGAGAGAGCCTGATTCCCTCTTTGCCTCTACCCTGAACAGCCCAACAGACCCAGCGTCAGGGCTGGCCCAGCCCTGTGCACCTGGGCGCAACTTTTGTCCTCACTTTCTCTCAAGGGTCGCATCTCTCTCACTCAGAGCAGTTTCCTTGGGTGATGTGAGGTCTCCCTTTGGACGTGCGCTTGTCCATCCCGGGTCCGCCTGTACCAGCTGCGTGGCCTGAGGCAATTCATTCCATGTTTCTGAGCCTCCCACCTCTCTTCTGCAAACTGGGCCCATTGTATGGATCTCGCAGGACTTACGTTGTATTCTATGTGCATAAAGACATGTACAAATAGTGTCTGGCACACAGTAGGTGCTTAGTAACAGATGGTTTCTGCCTGTCCCTGCTCTGCACTCCCCTGCAACATTAGCCATCACCTGCAGACTTTAAAATAAAGGAGAAAAGAGAGGAAGGGGTGAGCAGAGAGGGTGGGGACACCTAGAAGGGGCTTTCCTCAGCCCATAGAGGAGGGGGGAGATGACATGAGGCTTCAAGAAAGGAATTGGAGGCAGACATCAGAGATTCGGTCAGAAACTGAGCCTTCCCCTCTCTAGCCTTCAATGGTGCTGCCTGGGCAGTAAGAGCTCTGCTCTGATGGCCGCTGAGGTGCCCCCTTCCAGCTCCGATGCCCTGTGCATCTTGCCCCAGTCTTTGCCAGGGATTCTCAAACTGAGGGCTGGGAGTGGGACTGTGGTCCTGGAGAGAGAGGAGGCCACAGGCCTGGAGGGAAGGACTGAGGGGGAAGAGCCCTGAGAAGCAGGGTTGGGAGGGGACCTACCGACCCCCCCCCCCCATGGTGAGAAGGAAAAGGGCAGGGACAGGAGGGCAGAGGAGGAAGAGAAAGGCACAGCTCCCCAGCTCCCTGCCCCGCCCCTCAGTCCAGGAGCACTCCAGCCAGGCCTGGGGGCAGAGAAACCAGTGCCTCCCACCTCCCCTCCTCCTGGCCTCCAGTGAGAGCTGCAGCCTGAATTATGGATGAGCCTCCTTGGGTTACAGCTGCTTTGCATGGCGGCAATGGCCAGAAATGGCAACAGAGTCACTGTTACGCAGCAGCTGTCATGGAGGGGCCCTGCTCAGGCTTGGGGAGGTGGGCCTTAATGGGAGAGACATGGGGACCCAGGGGAGGGGTGGGGAAAGAAGGGAGGAGCCCCTTATGTGGGCAAGGGGTGGCCAGGGAGCTGTAGGGAGAGGGATGCTGGCTCCCCCAAGCTGCTGAGCTCAGCCTCCTGCTGGGAGAGCCCCTGGTGCCACACAGTGGCCCCTGACTCTGCAGTGCTCCCGATTGCACATCCTTCCCTCCGTCTCTCCTGGGCCCTAGAGGCCGGGGGAGAGCAGTCCTCCCTAGGGCTGGCGGCCCTCAGGGCCCACACTCTTGGGAGCTTGTGGATAAGGGGTATCTTTTCTCTGTCAAGTCCTTGGGGAAGCGAGCTCAGAGGGTGACTCTGCCAGGAAGGGAAGTGCCCTGGCCAAGCATGAGGAGGTTCCTTTCTGGTCCTTGCCCTGCCAGCCACTTTGCTGTGTGACCTTGGGCAAGTCGCTTGCCCTCTCTGAACCCCAGTTGTGACTAAAGTAGAACAAGGGCTTGAACCAGATGGACTGGAGAACCTTCCCAGCTCTGACATCTCCCCTGCTAGCCCCAAATCTCAGCCCTGCTGAAACCCACTGAGGTTCCCTACCCGCTCCCACATCCCACCCCTGCCAGGTTCTGATGAGGGGTGAGAGACATGCTCCTCCACCCCACGTGGCTCTGAAACACCCGGGAGAAAGTGATCGTGAACTGCCGCACGGGGGAGGGGTGCGAAGGGCCGAGAAACGCGGAGGTGGTGTGAACGAATAGCGCAGCAGCGCTGTGTCACTGAATATTACATCACACCCAGCCTACACACGCATGGGGCCGGCACTCTGCACTCACACACGCGTGGGGACAGCCAGCACATGCAGGGAGGATCGGGGATGCTCATGGTGAGGCCCCAAATTGAGGAACGGGAGCACCACATCGGCATGGGGTTCCCCACCCCTGCCTGTGTGTCCCCCATGGGAGGAAGCTCACGGGACATCCATAATGTCTACGCCACTCAAACACGCCGGCTGTGCAGCTCTGCGTGTAGTGTGCACTGGGCTCAGACATAGACATTCACGCACAGCGCCAGGCATCACGTACAGTCATGCACCCCTCGGTCTTCCCCAGGGTCTCTGAACCCCAGGGACCCCTGGAAATAGGTCCTGGGTCCAAGGCCCACTCTTCCTCCCCTCGGCCTTTGATTCGCAAGAGATCTCAATTTAGCCCCAACCGGTCTCAAATGGGGGCGATTTTGCTCCCCAGGAGACATTTGGTAATGTCTGGAGACATTTTGGTTGTCATAATCAGGGGGAAGGTGTTACTGGCATCAAGTGGGTAGAGGACAGGGATGCTGCTAAACACCCTAAATAGGACACCGTATAGGGCTGTCCCCCACAACAAAGAGCGATCAGCTCAACTTTCCATCCGAAGGTTCTGAGGCCTGACAGTCAAACCCACCGTAGTGACAATAAGAACGGAAAAGACCACCACTCTGAAACGGCCTGCAGCATAGCAGTGCTTTCCACAGTGTCCTCCTGGCATTTCTTTATTTATTTTTATTTTTTTAATATACCAGGGGTCTCAAAAAGTGGAAGTGGCTGGGGCCTCTTGCAATTAGGTTGTTTGTGCCCAGAACTCTCCCACCCAGGAGCCAGGCTCCTGGCCATTAGGGGTGGGTGGGCAGGCCCCTGGCGGGCACTCCTGCCCTTGCAGCCTGCCCAGAAAGGCCTGCCCCCTGTCCCCACAGGTCCCGCCTCAGCCTGCCTCCTGCTGCTGCTCCTGGCCCTGCCCCCAGCGGCCCCCAGCTGCCCCATGCTCTGTACCTGCTACTCGTCCCCGCCCACCGTGAGCTGCCAGGCCAACAACTTCTCCTCCGTGCCGCTGTCCCTGCCGCCCAGCACCCAGCGCCTCTTCCTCCAGAACAACCTCATCCGCACGCTGCGGCCAGGCACCTTCGGGCCCAACCTGCTCACGCTGTGGCTCTTCTCCAACAACCTCTCCACCATCTACCCGGGCACCTTCCGTCACCTGCAGGCCCTGGAGGAGCTGGACCTCGGTGACAACCGGCACCTGCGCTCCCTGGAGCCCGACACCTTCCAGGGCCTGGAGCGGCTGCAGTCACTGCACCTGTACCGCTGCCAGCTCAGCAGCCTGCCCGCCAACATCTTCCGCGGCCTGGTCAGCCTGCAGTACCTCTACCTCCAGGAGAACAGCCTGCTCCACCTCCAGGTGAGCCACCCACCCGTGCGCAGGCCCCTGCACACACTCCCCTGCTTCCCCCTCGCTCCTCTGCCCCTGTGTGTGTCCCTCCGCTCTCCCCAGCCCGCCCTTCCTGCCTCAGCATCTCAGCATCCCTCTCTACGTCTGCCCCTTTCTAAGTGTGTCCCTCTCACTTTCTCCAGGGGCTTTTCTCCATTTGGTCTGTCTGTCTGTCTGTCTGTCTATGCCTGTTTGGTTCCCTTACTGCCCCTCTCTCTCACTCCCTTATCCTCCACCCCCCACCCCCACCCCCCACTGTGTGTCCCCTTCTGCCTCTGCCTGCCTTGTCTGTCTGCCCCTCTCTGCCTCTCTCACTGACTTGCCTTCCCCATCTGTCCTCTGGTCTGTCTGTCTGTCTCCATTCACACACCCACTCCACACGCACCCCATGTCTGGTTGATGTGCGTGTCTCTCTGTGATCTCTCCTTTTCCCCTCGTTTGCCTTTGGGGGCTCTGTCTCTCCGCAGGCACCAGGCCTGAAGGCCTCTGTGGCTGCTTTCTCCCCACCCCACCCCCTCCCACTGCCGCTGGTGTCCCAGAGAAGGCCCCGCTCTCTCCAGCACCCTATTTCCCCTTGGCTAATGGGACAAGGGGAAACCCTACCCTTTCTAGATCCCCATCCCCAACCTGCTGTCTCACTGAAAGGGAAGAAGGAAAAAAAAAAGGGTAAAGAGCTGTTAAGTAGCTGGAAGATGGATGCTCTGAAAACGGAAGGAATAACAGTAATTGCTATTTATTGTTATTATTATTGATCTAAATATTGTTTATTGTTGTTATTAAGCTGACTGTCTGACAGTCAAACCCTCCCATTCTATTTCCCCAGGAAGCAATAACACACCCTCCAAACCACCCTCCCTGGGCTCCACAGCCTCAGGCTGGAAGGGGCTGGAGTATCCAAACCCTCCCTCCCCCCACATAGATGGAAGGCATGCCTCCTCCCACCGGGCTGGTGCTGATTTGAAAATCAGGTCAAGGTTTATGCTAATAAGATAGTAACAATGGCAATAATAACTTAACAAACATGCATTGTGCACCCACTATGTGCAAGGTGCTGAGAATACAGCAGTTAACAAAACAGACAAAACCCCCTGCCTTCGCTGAGATAGCACCCTAGGTGGTGGAGAGAGACAGAAGTGAAATACGGTAGCCCCCCTCTTATCTATGGGAGATCCTGTCCCCCAGGGATGCCTGAAATCTCAGACAGTACGGAACCTTGTATGTACTATGTACTACACACCTAGGATACAGTTAGTTTATAAAATAGGCACAAAAAGAGATTAACAATAATAACTAATAATAAAATAGAACAAGTATAACAACATACTGTAATAAAAGTGACGTGGATGGCTTTGGGGCCATCATTAAGTGAAACAGAGGGACTTAAACACAGGCACTGTGGGACCACGGCACTTGATCTGACAACCAAGGTGGCTACTACTAGTAAGTGTCTAAGAGGCAGGTAGCGTATATGCAGCATGGAGACGCTGGGCAAAGGGATGACTCGCATCTGGGTGGGATGGCTTCGAGATTTCTCCACACTAAGTAGACCAGCATGCAATTTAAAACTTATCAATTGTTTATTTCTGGAATTTCCTATTTAATATTTTTGGACCATGGTTAACTGCAGGTAACGGAAACCATGGAAAGCAAAACCGTGAAGGGGAGTGGGGGACTGCTGTACATAGTACGTTGGAAAAAGATGTCGTGTTATTATGATTGCACCAATAACGATAGTAGTACCCACTACCACTTAGTGGACACACTATGCGAAGGCCTTTGTGGGTATTGGGCGCTATGCTAAGGCCTTTATAGGTATCAACTCTGCCATTTACAAGTGTGTGACATTTTTCAATCCCCCTGAGCCTCAGTTTTTCCACTTGTAAATTGGGGGTAGCACCAGCCCATCTCCTAGGGATTTCATAAGTGTAAGTGCATGAATAATTTGTAGAGCACTTGGAATAGTGCTTGGCATGTGATACGCACTATATAAATGCTTGTTAAAATACTATTTTAAAAGAGGCAAGCCTCATTTAACATTGATCTCAGTGAAATAGCCTATCTTGGACTTCATCTTGAAGATTTGGGTCAATTTCAAGGGTGATGCCCAGGCCATGGGTGGATCCTAGAAAACTCCTTCTTTTCTTTCCTTCCTAAATTTGCCTAGCACCTCACAGTGTCCAAAGCACGCTCAGCCACCTCACCTCATTTCCACAGCCCTGTCAGGAGATGCTTTCACCTCCCCACAGATGAGGAAACTGAAGCCAGGGTCCCAAGAGTTTGTAGATATAAGGCCTCTTCACGTGAAGTCTCTTAAACCATTGCCGATATGACTGGGGGCTCCCATGTTCCCAGCATGACGTTTAACCTCACAAAAGCCTGGCAATAGAGACAGTTAGGGACAGTAGGAACACGAAATGAAGTTCCTGAGGCCACCGAACCAGGCAGAGCTGGTGGTACTAGAACCTGCGTGGGCTGATGACATTTCAGGCCATTTTCCACTAGGGTCTGTCTGAGTGGAGGGGGGTGGTACCCTGAAGTACAGCAGCATGGGCTCATTTTTGAAGGCTCTCACCTTGGAGTCTACCAGATGTAGGTTCAGATCCTGGCTCCTATATGACTTTGGACAAATTATTAAGGATCATCCCATCTCCATGTCCTCATCTGTAACATGGCCACCTCAATAGGGTTAGCACAGGGCCACACTCAGGTACTGTCCTGACACTTGACCTCCTCAGCATTTATCAGTGGCTCACAGTGGGACAGCTAGGGTCAGAGGGCCTGCGTTGGAATCCCTGCTGTGTTGTTTCCTGACTTTTTTAACTTAAGGTATGATGCCTCTCCTCTCTGAACCTAGTGTCCTCATCTTTAAAGTGGAAATAATAAAAGTCATCCTTTCCACAAAGAACGGCTGTGCAGAGTAAATAAGTTGTGTAGATACAGCACACAGTTCAGTGCTGAATAAACCCTGTCATTAGAACCTGATCCTCCACTGACTCCTCGAATGGGAAGTTGGTTCTATACACCCCTGGCATGAATGGCATGGCATCTTCACACCAGGCCCTTTATAGAGAAAGGAAGGGAGGAAGGAAAGAAGGAAAGAAGGAAGAGAGGAAGGGAGGGAGGGAGGGAGGGAGGGAGGAAGGAAGGAAAGAAGGGAGGAAGGGAGGAAGGAAGGAAGGAAGGAAGGAAGGAAGAGAGGAAGGGTCAGCCTCTGCCTGTGAACTGCCTGGAGGAACTAGGCTGGGAGATGCCCCCGGTGGGGGAGGAAACGTGGGAGGGTGATGTCCACAGAATGCAGGTGTGCCCCAAGATAGGGCTGGGCCTCCCCGAGAGGGGAGCTTTGGAGGCGGCAAGAGGACCACAGCTTTTAATGATGAGGAAGGTGGGAATGGAAATGGGGTGGGCTGGAGGTCCTCACAGACTGTCTTCTGTGTGCCAGGTCCTGTGCCAGGTGAGTTCATTCATCAACAGATGTGTACTGAGTACCTACTGCATGCCAGGCAGTGTTCTGGGTGCCAGGGACTCAGGGGCGAACAAAAACAATCTCTTTGCTCTCCTGGAGTGTATTTCCTACTCAAAAGGAACCAGAACCTTTCCCTCATTACAGCAGCCTGCATGGTGCATAAGAGCAGCCTCTGTACTCAGGCACATCTGAGTCTGAATGGCAGCCCCACCTCCAGTTTGCTCTGTGGCTTTGGGCAAGTTACTTCACCACTTTAAGCCTGAATGGCCCCATCTGTAACACGGGGAAAATGCCCTGTGCCTCAGGGGTTTGTTGTGAGGGTTCGAGGAGATGCTACTTGAAGAGGGCTCAGCAATGTGTCTCATTCAGAGTAAGTGTAACGGACAACCAGTGGGTCCAGGCCACCTGTCACTACATGAGCCAATTAAGCAAACAGAGTTGAATCGTTTAGGAGCTGTTATTCCAATAATGCTGGCAGTATGGGAGAGCAGCAGGTCATCCACAAAAATCTGCGCTCCCCTCCCCACAAGCCATCTGCGTATATTGGGTAGAAGGGCAAAGATTATGTGGGGAGGTAAGAATTCCAGGCGTGGGAAAGTAGCCACGGGATAATGGTTGCAGGTTACAGGCCATGTGGGCTTGGACAGGGGGTAGGGGGATTGTAAAGGACAGGCACCTCCAGGACTAGATTGTTCCAGTCATGAGGTTGTAGGCAGCTCTTGGGAGAGGAGGATGGGCTTCATCCCCATGTTCGTTCCCATGTCCCAGGGTGTACAACTGTCAGCCAGGTGAGAATGTGCTTTCTCTAATCAGAACAGAACAATCACGGTTAACAGAGCATGATTAATATTTCTCATAATTATAGATAGTCCCCAATATTCTCTTTCTGCCCCTAAC